ACCATTATTACTATTACTATTATTATTATTATTGTTGTTGTTGTTGTTGTATTATTATCATCTATAATTTATATAATTAATCTCTTTATAGTTTAATCCCGATCTTACCGAATTATTTATTACTTTAATATTTTTATATTTAAAAAAATTAATTTTTGAATCATGCCCATAAATATTTGAATCCGAGTTCTTTTCTTTTTTTCATCGTGTCAGCAGGACAATAGCCTGTCATCAATTATTACTACAGTATTAACGATTTGTTTACAACCTTGGACAAGAATTGGGAAGCGGACCGTTACCAAATTGCAAAATAAATAAAAGTGATTTATTATAGTGCATCGTCGATGTTTTTTTAAAGCCACGGGGGAAGTTCAGTTTGATATTTGAAGTTTTTTATTTTTATTTTTAATTTTTGATCTATGTAGTTTTTATTTTTTTATATTCTAATTCTGAAACTTTATTTTTTTTATATTTCATTTTTAAAACTTTAATTTTTGTATATTTTAATTTTAAAATATCAAAAAAGGAGAGAAAAGTTTTTCTAAAAAGAACGAAAAAGACAAAAAAAAAATCAATTTTATTTTTAACTTTAAAACACCTACTAATTAGTCTCGAAATTAAAAATTAAATTAAATCTAAATAAATTTTAAGAATTTCAATCTATTTTTTTAGAGCACAATTAAAAACTCATGCTACCTCCATCAAACTCACATCTTCAAGTCAAACCTCTTGGTACCAGCATTGATATATATATATATATATATAAGGTTTTTATAATTTTTTTAGTGTTTTTAATCCTAAAACGAAAAGGATGAAAATACAGATTTAGAGTCCAAATTACCTGCATCTTGACCTCTGATGGATGAAAATTGCTATAGCGAACGATATTTGTTGCCCATTAGTTTTTGAAAAAAAATAAAATAATAATAATTAAATGACATGCTGTCCACTTGAGTTAAAGCATTCGTCTTTTGAAAAAATAATAATAATAATAATAATTAAATGACATGCTGTCCACTTGAGTTAAAGCATTCATCTTTTGAAAATAATAATAATAATAATAATTAAATGACACGCTGTCCACTTTGAGTTAAAGCATGCTTCGATGATTTCCTTTTTAAAACTAGATGCATGGGACTATGCTTTTTATATATATAATCTAAAATAAAATCCTTCTCAATTAAAATGATATTTTAAAAATTAATGATGATACCATATTATTCATATATGAAACAAATATGCACTTTTTTATATAAAAAAAATCCCATTAATATTAAATGAGAATAGAATGTCTAATTTTTCTATCGCGAAGTTTTTATGTAATTCTCATGTATTTTGTCTTTTAATTTGAACATACTTTTCAAATCAGATAAATATTTATTGTGATAAAATTTCTATATAAATTAAATAAATCAACTTATGCACTTACACCAGATTTTTGTTTTTTAATACAAGCTTTTAAAATTGAACAGCACTATTTATTGACTGAAATAGAAATCAACAGCGTATCGCCGGCTATTAAGTTAGTTTAGTTTCTGTATGACTGCAACTATTTCAAATCCCAGCGAAACATGCATGCTGTACAATTTATTCAGCGGTCTTCCCTCCGAACTCTGTTGGGGTCAGCCATCATATCCGTCATCATCTTCTCAGGTGAATCCTCCCAGCTTGCAAAAGTTTTCATGTCAACCTGCCAAAAGTACAGCGTTTTTTTTTTTCGTATTTAGATTCAAGTCTTGCACGTGAATATCAACACATGCCTCACTATGAACTTTACATGGCAGGTTACCTTGCGTCTTTGTGCAGTGAAAAGATCCTCTCTCTTCTTATATGAAAATTGAATTTCCCTTGCTTTCCTCCCACCTAAACCCCAAACCTCAACCTCTAAAATCAAAGCTTCAGCTGGGAGAAACCCCTGCAATACAGATTTATAAAATATAAAACAAAGTAGTTCAAGCTTTCAAAGTGAACATACACTAGCATGGATCTTCTAGTGTTCGTGGCAAAACATATACTATTGCCGCGTAAAATTCAATCCATATATTGTCTAACAGGCAATCTCATATTGACAACAACATTTCCACAAGGGTGACCAAGGAACAAGATCAGAGGTTGCCTTCGGTGAGAAACAAATCTCAGAAAGTCAATGGTGAAAAAAACAAGTCAGAAGGTTAACAAAATTATTAACAAATAATACTTACTGATGCATGCAACAAGATAAAGGCCAAGACAAATTATTAAAACAGAAATTAAGAAGGAACAAATGATTAGAATCAGCTAAGCGTGCAGAAACTAAGACCATACAAAAATCAAGGAAGGTTTTCACTCATTATAATAGCTAACGTCATTATCCTCTACCAAATTAGATTCTTCAAAAACTAAGATTTGAGAGCCAAAAGCTCAATATTAGCAGTGATGCGGTTAGCCATTACACATTAGTACCTGATTCGGGAAAAGTGAACCTTGCTGGTAAGTTTTGTCAACTGCATGATGGCGAACTGTAACTCTGGAAAAGTCCCCATCGATATAAACCCTCTCATTCCCAATGGTTCCTCCAAATGCAATGCCCACAGGCTTTGGACGTGCCTCATAAACTCTACCAGTAGGATGCAAGTGGCTGTAAACAAAGTTTTTCTCCTTCCCTGCCAATGGTTTCACAATTTGTCATAGAGGCCCCATAAAGGAAGCATTTCTCACGGATTTCAATTTGGCTCATCAACTTTCATAAAAGAAACGAGAAGCAAAAAACAAGCAAGAAATAATTTGTGACTCTCTCTCTCCCCACTCATTTGAATCACATACCAGAAGGTGAGTACATGTGGAAGACTGGACTTATAGCATATAGGGTTCCAGAGGTTCCATAGAACATATCCCTATTTTCGAAACCCTGGTGGGTGAGTGCACCTACGATCCATTTCCTACAATTGGTGCTATCCTCACTTGCATCTCCAGAAGTAGCAGAAATCAAAATCAGCATTGGACCAAGATAACCTTCGATGTTAGACCAGAATCTGTTCAAACCCTTCCCATGGAAAGATGACCTGATAATAAGTGTTGGGTAAAATTAGATGCAGTAGCAAGCAAATAACTTAAACTTACACAATAAACCCTGAAAGAAAGAGAGAGGTAGGAAGGGAGGGGTTAGGACTTTGGAGTAGCAACTGAAGTACTATGAGCAACTTTATAGGTCACTAAATTTATTTAGGCCACCATCAGGGTCAAGCAGCATAACGTACAAGAAAATAGGTCTTGAAAAATCAAAAGGGAAGATGACACACCGATAAATAAGATTCTCATCGGTAGCATCACTGTTACTAGGAAAGTATGGGCTCAGAATTTCTTGACTTATTGCACTCCTGATTGTAAGGGAAATTGCCCATGCTTTTCCACAGGTTAGAAGACAAGAGTTGCATGCCTTTTCTGAAGAGATTTCTCTTAATGATGAGCTTGAAGATTCCAGTGTATCTTGCTGTTGATTGAGAAGAAAAATCATGTGAGATACAAACTCGTATAACTGGTAATACATTTTTCATAGTCGAGTGGGATAGAGGCAGTGAAGACCGAAAGCAAGATCATGGTTTCCTGTTTTATAACCAAAAACAGGAAAAACTCTAAGCGGATGGCTAACCCTTAATCTTTAACTGACATCAAAGCACCAATTTTTGTGGTTTTGTTAGAATTGGATACCTCCGAACTATTGCAGTTTTGCAGTCTTGCATTGACAAATTGTGTAAAACACTCTGTGAGGTTTGTCACTGTCGTCAGCATCCATGTAAGAAACTTTCCAGCAGGAAGTTGAACATCTAAAACCGAGACATCACAATCCTGCAATTCCAATCCACTACCACCTTCAGCACAAGAAACAACTGCGGATAACACCAAAGGACTAATATCTGGAAGATACAGATACTCTTTCTCTTTTAACAAATTCCAAGTTTTTGAATTCCACAACATAGCCCAACACATCCAAAGAAACATAAGCACATCAATAGGCAGAAGCGACCCGCTTATCTTATATTCACCATCATCAATAGCTTCAACCTCCAGTTTCAAAGGAATTCCTGCTTTCACTCCCGTTGCAGAAAATAGTCTCAGCAATGTATTAAGCAATACTGAAACAGGCATCCTCCCACAGCATTTCAAATAACCTCTAACAAACTCAATCCAATTGACCCCTCCTTTATCAGTAATGAAAAACAGGTCCACCATAGAGGGACCCAGATGATCCAATAATCCCAAAAGGGAATCAGGCATTTTCAATGCTTCGCATTCTGTGCTTTTATAATTCAAAGAGAAGCATTGCTGCAACAATTAAAATTACAAGTCAATTTCAAAAAACAAAATTCAACATCTAAATATAACATGAAAAAATTTCTTAAAAGTTGCAAAAAAAAAAATTAATTTCTATTCCTCTCATACGGTTAACCTCAAGTAACTTCGAGATTGAACTATTGAGCAAGTAATGGCAATACAGGAAAAAAAAAAAGCTTTTAGAGTGAAAAGCTGGATTCTTTTACAAGATAATTAAGAAACCATGATTTATTTTTGGTGGTTTTGCAAGTACCTGAAGAGACTGAAGAGGGATTGCATTTGTTTGAGGATCGGCAAGCTTAGAAAAAGCATTTTGAAGCAAGGAGGTTGATCCAGTGGAAGCTGCTAGACTTTCCACCTCCCTCTGTTCACTTGATACGTTCTGCTCCTTAGAAGACGATGCTCCCATTCTGGCGGAAAGCAAACAACAATTGAGATTTCTTTTTTCCTTAAAAATTAAGTGAATTTTGTCACTTTCCGTTTGATTCCCTAGAAAATTCAGTGAAACTCTCTCCCCCTCTCGGTTTATGATTTAACGGATAAGGACAAAAAAAAAAGAGTATATTCGTTCTAGTCCTACACATTTTACTATGGTAAATAAATAAATCTAAATAAGTAATATATATGGGCGTCAAAATACTTCAAATATCTTTATTAATAATAAATAATAGCTCCCAAAAAAAATGAATTGGAACGCAGCGTTTAATGCTCGTGAGGGGTTTGACAACCCGACCCGAAAATAAAGCGATTCGGAACGGGGATTTGGATCCTGGCATTGCGCACGAAGAAAAACCACGAGAACTCCAATTCTTTTTTCGAAATACTCCTCACTCAGCTTACTCGGAACTCTGATCTAGGGTTTCGTTGGAGGGCTTTTTTATCAGATCTCTAGGCAATCAAATGACGCCACCTCCAGGTCCTTACTCCGGTGCCAGCGCTCTCGCTCTGGTAAGCAACTCTCTCTACACTTTCCAATATCAAAGAGTCTTCATTCTCGTCCTTTCCTCCAAAAATGGAGTTTTATATTTTGTGTGTGTAGGTGGCGCGTGCATCAGCATTCAGTTTTGGCTTGGTTTATGGAAATGCGAAGCTCAAGATTCTCAAGGTAGCCAATTCAATTCTTTCTTGTTTAACCTTTCTTGATTACCCAGATTTATTTCTGTTATGGTTTTATTTTATATTTTTCAATTTGATTTTTTATGGAATTATAAATAAATAGATTTTATCACCAACAAACCAATAAGTTAATCATGCTTAAGAATTTGATTAAGGTGACCTTATTATTAGTCTGGCAACTTTTGTTGCATGTTCTTCATGTTTCAGTTCAAATTCGATTCACAATTAAAAATGGTGTTGTTATCTTTAGAATGCATGACACATGGATGCTAAATTTGTTGTTACATTTTATCGATTTTGTTGATAGAATTTATGTCATCTTATCTTATGTACTGAAAACATAATCAATTTCTTTTGCCTGCTAGATGAAAGCAAATTCACATAAGAAGGCGGAAGCTAAGGCACATCACTGAGGAGCTAGTCGTAGGATGATGAAATAAATGGCCATCGATCATTCAAATGGTCACCATATGATTACTCTTATGCAAAAGATGACTCTTGGTTTAGAGAATTATGAGTTTTTTGAATTTTTGTTTGTGAATGTGAATTTCCACATTTATGAGAAAGTGAGACAGTTTTCTATAAATTGAACACTTGGAAGAACAATTATTTTGTGGATTCCTGGGTATTCATACATATACTATACCATTAGGATTTCACGACCTTCTTTATGAATGCTAAGCAATTGTGCATTGTGATTCATACGTGCAGATAATTATTGTTGAGTAGCTTGTCTTTAGTTGTATGGTTATGCTGTTTCAAGGTTTTGTTCTAACAGTTGATGCCCTAGTAAATTGCAGAAATAATTTTTTGTGTGGGGTTTCCTCTTTTCTTTTTCTGTTTTTCTGTTTTTTGAATGTTTACGGGGCAGCATATAGCAAGATTAAAGATTATGTGTATACTGCTCATCCCTGTATGTTTAGCGTTGATCCTTTGATCACGTATTTGTTCATAACCCATGCAATGCTTGATCAAGTGGGCGTCAATGGTTGTGAATCAGGATTTTCATCTCAAGAGTCGAGGAGAAATTTGCTCGAAATCTGTGAGAAATGTAAATGATGTTTGTGCAGTATGGCTGTGATGGCTGGTGGTATTGATCCTTGGATTATTTTGTTGTCTATCAATAATCTAGGTGATTCTAGTCAATGGACCTTTCTCATTCATGATTCAGCACTCTCACATTTTCCAAAAATATCCCTTCAGAAATGTGAATCTAGTCCTGTATGTTAGTTTACTATGGGTGTGATGTTCGGTGGAGGTGGAGGTGACAATGTCAAATTGTGATATGGTTATTTTCTTTTCATTTGGCTTAGTGCTCACTGCCTGCTATTGAAAGTCCATAGCTTGAATCAAGTAGGGGAATGCGTTTTGTTCACTATATATATATTTATTCTGATTGTTCTCTAATCACATTATATCATTCATGGTTAAACATGTTTGTAAGCTTTGCTACATGCAAATCAGTTCTCTAACCTCTTCTTTCGTTTTCCCATGTTTTCTGTGTTCTCTGTAGTTGGCATTGCTGGGCCTGTTTTGTCTTCTGTTACTTCACATGCATCCCAGAAACTCGAACATCCTCCGTCATGGTTCTTTTTGTTCATGACTTTATTTTCTTGTATCCTCTTTACCCGGGGACAGATTGCAGCGTGCTCTCTCTCCCGTGACTTTTTTTTTAATTATTATTATTGTTTTAAATTCTATGGTTGTTCCAGATTAATTTGTCATGAGACAACACCAATCACTAACCATGCCCGTGACTAAGGAATTTAATTTTTCATTTTGTTCGTGCTCTTCATTCTTGACTTAAAATCAGGGTAGAGAAACTTGATCAGACCTCTCCATCTTTAGCAGCCCTGGAAATTCCAATGTTGATTGCAGTCTCTTTTCCCTTCCATTATCTGGGTTCGGCAATTCGAGTGAAATCTCTCCGGTGGTCAAGACCAGAAGATGAATCATATCTGCAGTTAATATGTTTGATAACTTGGTAGTACGGTTGGAGTTTGAAAAGTTAGGTTTTAGAAAAGCTAGAAATTATAGCTTTTTCTTTACTAAGGTTTCTCAAGAGTTTTTAATAGTTTCATTGTTCAATCATGGGAAAAAAATTGTTTACTAAGCTAGAGACCCTTGTATTGTGATGCCTTTTTTCTTTGTTCAACCATGGAAAAAAAGTTGTTTAGTTAGCCTAATAACCCTTGTTTTTTACATTAAATTCCATATATAATTGTGTTTTAAATTTTAGCTTTGTAAAAACTAAAATAATTTATTTTTTATTCATAAAAACTGTTTTTTATTTATTATACATTAAAAAATTTATATCACAATAATTTTAATCGAATATGTTTTTTCAACCTATTCTTTTTTAAACCACATTTGTACTTTTATTACTGTTCTAATTGCAACGACTTAAAATCAAATGAAATTAACTGGGGTGACATGTCGTTCTATGATAAGAAGTACACTAATGCTTCGGCCCTCTTGCTCGGTAAAGAAACAGAGAGCGGGTGCGATGGCCATGGCCATGGGATTATCAAGTTCCTTTGTCGAGGCTGTTTTGTGGACTGTAACAAGCCCCTTGGTGAGAGCATTCCATCCTTTGATTTTCACACGTGGAGGGCCCAGATTACCCAGTGGAAAAGGAATCTCTTTACAGATCAGCCCCCCCTCCTTCCCCTGATGCAGATCCATATCACATTTCATCACAAACATGGTTTTTCCTCTCTCACTGCACTCATTTAACAATAATGTATTTTAACATTCACCAACCACAAAAAAGTATCCAATGATGTTTAAGATGATTGCTTTTTGTTGAAAAACATTGCCGGATTCAAATTAGATTAAATCTTAAAATAGTTTTTTTTTTAAATCTTAAAATAAAAGGTTATTTATTTATTTATTAACTCAACTTGTTATTAAATCTCGCCATGAAGCAAGATGCAATTAATAACTTCAGAATAAAGACCGCGCTGGTAATAATAGTAAAAAAAAAAAAAAAACTAACAGCTAGACATAACTGCAACCGACAAGTTGCTTTCCAAAGCTACTTTTATCTTTAACTAATCAAGCTTAAGAAATTTCACAACTTGCTTCATCACTTCACAAATCTCACTCCCCTGGTAAATACGCACATCCGCTCCCACACACTCTCTCTGTGAAAAGAAGAGACCGAGATGGGATCAGTGTCCCTGAAAATTGGAGATGGAACAGCCAGATTCAGGAGAGCAAGTTTCTGTTCGTCAGCGGTGAACATTCTCATGCTCTTCTCTGTTGTAACCACAAATCTTTTTGCATTATATGCCTTCACATCTTCTCCAAAAGACCATCAAGCTCACCTCGTTCACAATCCCCATAAAAACATTTCTTTGATCTCCGAGCATGTCTCTTTAATACTAAGAGAGATCGCTTCTTCTCAGAAAAAGCTTGCCAGGATGGAAAAGGAGCTTTTGGGCTATGAAACTATGGATATTTCAAGGCCCAATATTGCAAGTGAGCTCAAATTGTTCTTGCAACACCATCAACTCCCTCTTGGTAAGGATTCAAGAACTGGGATCACTGAGATGGTGGCTTCTGTGGGTCATTCTTGTGAGAAATCTCCAGACTTGTTGTCCCAGTATATGGTTTACAAGATTTCCGGGCCTTGTCCTGATGACTGGAGCCTTGGCCAGAAGCTGATTTTGCGTGGATGTGAGCCTTTGCCCAGAAGGAGATGCTTTGCCAAGTCTGTTCCAAAGGTGGGTCTTTATCGTTTTCCTGTTTCACTTTGGAAACCTGTTAGTGAAAAGATTTTAACTTGGAGTGGTCTTGGTTGCAAGAATTTCGAGTGCTTGAATAAAAAGAAATTGAGTAGGGATTGTGTTGGTTGCTTTAATATTACTAGCGGCTATGAGACTCAAAAGTTTGTTAAAGTTAGAGGCAAGAATGATTTTCTTATTGATGATGTGTTAGCTCTAGCAAGTGGAGGAATTAGAATTGGATTTGATATTAGTGGTGGGTCTGGAACTTTTGCTGCTAGAATGGCAGAGAGAAATGTGACTGTGATTACTAGTACTTTGAATGTGGATGCTCCATTTAGTGAATTTATTGCAGCAAGAGGGCTTTTCCCTTTGTATTTGAGTTTAGATCACAGGTTCCCTTTCTATGACAATGTTTTCGATTTAATTCATGCTTCTAGTGGATTGGATGGAGGGGACAAACCTGAAAAGTTAGAGTTCTTAATGTTTGATATCGATCGAATTCTGAGGGCTGGTGGATTGTTTTGGTTGGATAACTTCTACTGTGCAGATGATGAGAAGAAGACAGCTTTGACTCGGTTGATTGAGCGGTTTGGGTATAAGAAGTTGAAATGGGTTGTGGGTGAGAAGGTAGACACAGCTGGGTCAGGAAAATCAGAAGTTTATTTGTCTGCCGTTCTTCAAAAGCCAGCAAGAGTGTGATGATTACTAGAGTTTTCACATGAAACTGAAGGAGGTGAGAATATTGCTTCCATTTCTAGCTTTGTTCACACAGAATTTCGTGTGAGTTCAGTGCCTCAAACACCCTCATGAATTCATTCCAACATGCAATAAGTACATCAATTATTACTTCTCTCAACTGTAAACCAGCATTAGAAGATGATATTTGTGCTTTGTAATCCATCAACTGCGTTATCTTTTACTGTATTTTAGGGGATTTAACTATCCAAGCTAAAAGAAATGTTAGGAAATGGAAAATTCATAGTGTATTTTTGAATCTTTGGAGTGCGAGTTCGTGTCCGTGTTGCTTGTTCTAGATCTTAAACCTGCCTTCTTTCCTTCCACATTCATTCTTCGGTTCCAAATTTGAGTTTGATACATGTCCATCTCAAGTAATGCTAGATGTGATGAAATTTTCCCCCTTCCCTCGATGTCCTTGTATAATAAATCTGTTTCCATATAGCATTCAACGAGCCGTGTGCTTCAAGGCTGTGTATTGATTAACTTATCAGCTAAGATAAATGATGTCTTTGAACGTGGCATGTACAATTGCCTTTCTTTTTTTCAAAAGAGAATCAAATTTAACAGCAAGGTTGCTGTTAATTTTCTGGTGTTTTCTTGTCCAAATCAGAGATTTATCTTAAATCAAATACAAAACCTGTGTGACGAGTCATTTGTTTGGTTGATGTGTTTCTGAAGGATGCCTGATAGTTGTTATTTTGTGCACTTGCTATATATTATCATCAACATTCAAGGGATCTAAATTGGAAACTTAGGTAATGACATAGCAGGGGACCGGTGGTCATCACATATTCTCTGGTCTGTCCTCAACATGCTTACTGCTTTTCTCTGCTTCAGGCCCTTCATATTTGAGTGCCTCTAGTTCAGTGGGGAAATCAAGAGCATACGAACGGAATGATGGTAGGAACAAGTACTAGTTATAGATTCTAGCTATGGACTAGATTGGGAGCCAGCATTATGCGTGGGCCATGCCAATTTTTTTCAACTTGAAAAAATAAATTAGAGAAGGTTTGTGTTTTAAAAAAAAAAAGTGAAAACATTCTATAGTTGGATTAAACCTTGAATAATATGATAAAAAAACAAAAAATAATTTTCAGATGGGAGCCTTCATACAAGTCCATGCGAACGTTACATGAAACCTATTTTTTAGAATTAATTAAGATTTTATATATGGTCCCTTATCAAACTTAATAATAACTAAAAAAAAATTAAATGAAAATGATATTAAAAAAAAAAAAAACTTGACCCAAGGCAAAGACAAATTTAATTCAAGGGCACTGTGGTAATTTTATTGTGTATTTAAAATGAGAAGGCTAAAAATACTCCTGCCCGCGAACTGATATGTTTTTCCTCTAATTGTATATAAGTTATTTCATTGTGTAAAAAACAGTAAAAAGACCCCTTCACCCTGCTTTCAAGACCATTTATATTTTATTATCAATAATAAAATTATAATTTTATTGTTCCAATCCACCTTGATCTTGAGTTTGACAGTAAAAACTCTACAATAATATCACCTCTCTTCTTAGTTCCTTTAACAAACCTGATCATTTACTTCCTTATATGATCTTGATTCAACGTAAGATCTTTGTGTCGTTTTATAAAGGGATATTGACGAACACTCCGATCCATCGTGTTAGTGGCAATGAATTTGTGCACAAGTTGTTTTGCCTTTTTTTTTTTTTCAAGACATAAAAATAATAAAAACATATTTAATTGATGAAGATAAAAAAAATAAAAATAAAAATAAACCAGAAAATACATGGAGATATACGATCTGTCTCGTCTATAGTAGCCAAACGTTAATTTTTCAGATTGTGCTTGGCTTTAAGTTAAATGATGAACTCTTTATTCTCAAAATCCTTTAACAACTTAGCCTTCCAAATATTAATGTTTCTTTCTTCTAGATTGAACACTAAGGTTCTGGGCTTCTGCCCGATTCCCCTACATAACTACTTATGGGACAAGACTTCGATTCGATTTCCAACTGGTTCGGAAATTATCTTAACACCACCAAGCCCACCTCATAGGTTATGATTACCTCAATTGTTTGCTTGTAGGATGAAGCTGAAGCTGAGACCCTGGCCAAATCCACTTCTTAAATAACCATAAAATGTTTGCTTGTAGGATGAAGCTGAGACCCGGGCCAAATCCACTTCTTAAATAACCATAAAAGCATTGTTATGAAACCTCGCTGACCTGGGAGATGATACAATTTGAATTTGATTTTAGTTCGTTGATTCAAATGACCAACCTATAATTCAAATGGATTCTTGTTTGATTTTCTTTAAACCAGATCGTGGACCAACCAAACTTCTCTTCATAACTTTTCATGAAAGTATTTTAATTGTTTTGTATTTTTTTTCCCCGTAAACTATTCGTATTATTTTCAGGACATAATTTATGTTATGGTTTTAGAATCAGTAACCAAAGCCCTCCACGTTAAATTGACAGATTCCATAAATCTAATGCCAATCTTCGAAAAGTGATTTCGAAATCTCTTCGAAACCCCAGCCCCTAAGGCACTATAAATGACATGTCGCTTCATACTGTCATCCCATTACAAGAAACTTGTACAAGCAAATAGCAAGCTTGTCTGGTCAAGTAGTACAAACAAATCTATTAACTAGCATGCTACTACAATATAAGCTAAGTAGTTATGCCTTGAGCTTCTTTGGAAGGATAATATATATCCATCATCCCCTTAATTATAACATCAACTAATATAACATATCTATTCATATATCAGAATACATCGTGAGGCTAAATCGGAAGAGCCAACATTACTCGCCCCCTCTGCCGTGGGTGATTCGGATAAAGTTCTCCGGGAATGATTTTAGGTTTGAACAGGCAGGGAACCATTCCGGGAACATACATTGCCACCACGTGAGAAAACGTCCTGTTAATTGCGAGGGGGAGTCACTTAGTTGAAGTGGTTTTATCGAGCATGGCTCCCTTCGGTGATGGGTGCATTGGTCCCTTGGATGTTAGCGCTGTTAAGAAGCTTCATTCCCTCTTCACTCATCTGCTGAACTTCTGAAGGTGACAGAATCCTTATGCAACGGACACAGCCAACAAATTCCCTACACAAGCACATCAAACTTAGGCCTAGAATAGGACAACTTGGAGATGAAAATATAAAGAACGATTAGCATCTACACACGGGTAAAAAATAACCAGAAGCATGCCAGCAAAAATAGAACTTACTCCCAAGGATCATCACCAATGAGTAGAACGTCATTCTCGTAGTCCACGTATACTAATTTCCACCCAGAACGTTTAGGATTGTTTAGAAGCCCGTCAAGTCCAAACATGCATTCAATAGCGGAGCATAGTTCTTCATAATTTTTAAAACCCGAGACATCAATTGACCTGCCAACAGACCCTGTCTTCTGAACCTGTAATAAACCCAAACACTGTTAGCACCTAAAACTGAAACATTTAAAAGCCCTCGACCATGCTCACAAACACGCAGAGGGCTTAAAACCTAGACAAGGGTTAACATTTAAGGAACTTCACTACACTAAAGTCTTCCATATTCAAAAAGTTAAGTGAATAATGCGATGGATGGTCCAAGCAGACAGTTAACAAATATCTTTTATTTACAAGACAATCATTCATACCTTGGTATATGTGCGCACACGTGGGGCTACTTGCTGCCATGAGCTGTTCTGGAGCATATTGCTATTATCAAAATCAACGTTGCTCGAAGATGTACCACCTGAGTTGTCAGGAAAGTCTTGCCGTGAGAAAGCTTGGGAATCTGCTAGGCTTGCTGAGGTAATCTGAGACTGAACATCCTGGCTTGAGCTGAGGTTGCCGACTAGACAATCTGAAGCATTCTGCAAATCAGCATCCTTTAATGTGCAGAACTCATCTAGTATAGCACTTGAGACAGAAGGATCAACCACAGAACCACCCCCATTGCTGGCATCAAAGTTGAGAGAACCATAAATCCCACTTTGATCATTGCTCTCATCAGATAAATCCTTCACTGCACCTGAGTTTAGGGTACAAGGCTCTTGCTGAGTCAAAGAAATCAATTGGTTTGCTTGGGTTAGAAATCTTGAATTGCTCATCTGATGATCCCACACATCTTGATTCATAAAAGGTAAAGAGGGATTAATTGCTTCCGGGAACACAACTGATGTGTCCTGTGATCCAAACATAGACAGTGGCCCCGATCTATACATCCCAGCAAGAGACATGGGATGTGATATCCATTCATCTGCATCTAGAAATGGTAGTGAGCAGTTAGGTGCAGTAGCATCAGCAAGAGGTGAATGGATCTGTTGGGAATTATGTAACGACAATTCTGGAAATGCCTGTGCAGGCCAGAGGCTGGTTTGTAATTGTGAGTGGCCCTGATTCTGGTTTTGGATCGCTAGATGATTTGTGGCATTCTGCTGGGTCATAGGACACGATGATGGTTTCTGCACACTGCATTCACCTGTTGAAGTTAGCTGGCTTAACTGATCTGGCAAATGCTCAGTTTCTGCCTTTAATTTTCTTTCACCAACTCCAGCTGATGCTTGATTTTCAACTTCGATTGAAGAAAATGACTTCCCAGCTACATTTATTTTCGATGAAGATGAGATTATGGCATCAGATTGGTCTAGACAGATCTGTGAATAATTCTGGTTTTCTACAGGCGTAACTCCTGACTGGTTTAGCTGAGGCATCTGATTAATTGTTGCCTGCATGTTCTTGACATCTAATGAAGCCACCTTCGCAGCAGAAACTTCAGGTAGTGCAGCTCCACAGATTCCAGGATAGTTAATAGGATGAGGTTTCATTAGCATGTTAATCAGTTGTTCAGAACATATGTTTGACATTGAAGCATATGGGAGATTTGCATTTCCACTACCAGGAAGCCATGAAAGGGGCTTTTTTACCAAACTCCCCCACTCAGAATCTCCTGGCAGGACAAACAACATAGAATGAATTTCCAACGAATTTTCCCAGAAAAAAAAGAGTCAAAAACCGAGCACCAAGATAAACCTTACCTAAAAATCCAGACTGCAAGGGTCGTTTGAGACCTGAAGTCAGAGAAGGAAAAATAAAGAGACTTTCGGGAGTCTCAATTTCCCATGAACTAACCCTGTTCTGCTTATCAGAACACCCTGGCTCATCCCACTCCACCTGTTTGTAAAACGAAAAAATGGAAGTCAATTACAAATTAGCAAATCAAAGAGACCACCAATGACAACATAAGAACAAACATCACTGTGAAAGAAAAAGAGTTGGTCAGATCCACAAGTAGCCTAATCTACCTGAAGATTCCGCCACTTAGAACCAGGCCACCTCAGTGGATCCAAGTCACTGATACCAACTATTGTGCCCATATATCTGCGAAAAAGATTGCAAGTAATTAATCAAGCACTGTATATTCAGACTTGTAAATATTCAGAACCTTGAGCATGCAATAAGAATATAAATGCATTCAAAGCACACTTTTATCCTTGTCACAGTGCACTTAAGATGAAGAATTAATTAGTTGATTATTATACAGTGCTAATTCATGATTCCTATCTATGCAGAGGTTTTACCCATAGCCACTGCCTGATTAAAGGTGTAAAAGGATTCAAAGAACTCAGAATATTACCTGCGTTTTCCTGACTCTTCTGTCTCAAACATCATTCCAAACCTCATACCGACTGAGACTTGAGTTCCAAATACAGCTTTCCGGAATTTAATCAAAGGAATGACAAAGTCTGAAGGGCATGCCCTATGAATTGTACAAACAGCATTCGATAATAAGAGTCAGATACCAAATAAAAAGGGCAAAAGACAACTAGGATTTGTTTGTAAAGTTAACAAACCTTGGATTGTAAAAAATGGTGAATGGACTTCGATTGGCAGTAGCATGAGCTGCAGCAGCAAGGACACCAATGTGCATGCTATCAGCAGATAGAACTGATGATGGCAATGTTGTTTGTTGACGGTTTGCACGCCTCACACCCACCATTAACTGTGACTTTTCATCCCTGGTGATTACAGAGAACGGGTAGCTTTAAGATTACTATAGTGAGTTACAAAATCCATGAAGGTTTACCCATTTTTAACACATGTTCTTGACAATTAAATATTGTCAAACTGCACAGCAAAGCATCTCACAATTTTGCAGAAAAACTGAATTTACCTTTTCAATTGAGAATTTCTTAGATAGAGGTTTATGTATCATTAATTTTTGGTATTGTTAAGCTAACTTGAGAAGGCAGGTTTATGTAGCATCCAGAAGAAAAAAAAAAAAAACAAAGTATACAGCTTACCTGATGAACAAAACAGAATCACCTGCTTTAAGCCTTTTTGAACCCACAAATAAACTCCACCCAGTTGTAAGAAGGTGTCGTTTTGGCTGCCCTGCATAAGAGGAAAGAAGCGGGATGAAATCCACAGTCGAGATGGTTCCTTACCAAATAAATTACAACTGAGATAGTTCCTCACCGCGGTATATATGGCGAAAAGTCCAGGTATTATCATGCAAGTCCCTTACAACAAGCTCCTGAGTTGGCGGTTGCATTGTGTAATCCTGGGACAGACAAGCAAATTTAATACAACAGCTCGTTGTTTCCTCAGGGCTCGCAATGCAAGGATTTTCAAGTTAGCAAGATTAGCTCACCAGTGAAGGGAAGAGCTTTTCTGCTGCCCTGCGTGGCACTGAGAAGCCACCGTGTGTGCTTGTATCGCTAGCAGTCAAAGTTTTGCAGAAAAATTCACTTGGATGCTTGCTGGGCCTTAGCCCAAAATCTGGTATAGGGAAGACATCTTTTTCCTACATGAAGCGTAGATTCATTTTTTAGTCTGGATGAAGGGATAAGCAAATGGGATGAAGTTAAGATAATCTGACATTATTTAAGCTTACAGTGTTCACTGGTTGAAGACTCATTTGAGCATAGATTTCATCTGTATCTTTGTCTGCCTATGAAATAAAGGTAAATCAGAGGTAGAAAAAAAACTGTCCTTCTAACAAGAGATGTATACAACAGTGGTGCACTCTATGAAGAAACGCAAAGTGGAATCGGAAAAAATGGCATACATGTAGGGTGACATTGTGAACTTGGCACAATAACTGAGAAGGCAGATTGGGGTAGTTGGGGATCTGTGAAGTAGCTGATCTTCTCGTGGAAACTGCCACCTACACATGCAAATCAACTGGTCGTCAGTTCAATAAATCAAGCCGGAACAATCAGAGCAGCATATTAAAAGAGAAGCTGTCAAAATTTTATCCTGGCAGGGCTTCCAAAATCTTAGAATCATGTGTGCCTAATTTGGAAACGAACCTTCAAAAGCACAGATATTTATAAGTACATTTTTTAACTGCAGTTTCTGTTAAAATCAACGCGAACTAAATTCAATTACAGTACACCATGCGGTGCATCTACTCTTTCCAGAATGAATTCCTAATTCCTACTATCAGATTAATGTTTTAGAATTGTAAGTTTACTACACTGCTGATGACAAACCATCCCACTTGACAAGAAAATGCAAGTGATGAGAGATCAAGCTCCAAAATGCAATTTGGTACAGTTGAGATCTCCTAAGAATGTGCTGTGAGTGGATATAAAAATCAGAAGGGGAGAAAGGGTCAAGATTAAACGATATAAATTCAAACCTGCTCACTGTGCCCTTGAGGAAAATAATACACCAGACTTCCAACCTGAGGCAAGGAAACTAGTGGGCCTGCACAAGCGTACCACAGCTCCGAGTTGATAGCCTTCCGTATTCCTGAGATAATGCACAGCAAGCTCAAAAACATAAGACACACACTCTTGGACAAAATAGTACCGTTTGGACTTGTAATTTTCAGGAAAGTTAAGCCTTCATGTAAGAGATTCAACCTTTTACCGGATCATTTCAGCCCGTAGGCGAAAACGATTAGAAAAGGTCTAACTTAAAAGAAATGAAGATTTTAGTGACATGAAACAAACCAGACTGATCTTGAAATTCTTTCAACAACTTCATTTCCTCGAGAAGATTTGTTTGAGCTCCATTTACAAGCCCCCCTGTCTTGATTTTCTCTTCCACAGACCCCATATTATGCTTCTAACTTGAGTTGGTATATCCTCTCTACCACACAACCAGAGCCACTCAATAGAAAAATGTCATCTTTACTTCTTCAACACCAAACCGCTCGATTACAAAAACCCCCCGTCAAACAGAATAGAAACTAGAGCATTAAAATCACAACCCTATATTCCTCCAAAAGAAGATAACTTTTTAGGACAGACCCATGTCAAGGAATCTTAAGTTCACCCAAAAGACCAATCCAGTTGGTCAAAACAGAGAAACCAACCCCTCCCCTTTGAGGAGTCCTTGATGATCCAAAATCAAGGAACAAAACCTGCAAAAAGGTATTCGCTAGACTAGACACAGATCCTTTTATGGTGTGGGGCAGGAAAGAGAGAGCTTTTTATTGACACAACAAAAACCAAAAGTTTTTTTCATCAAGCACGCGGACCAAAGCATGAGTGTGGTGTTCTTGTTGCTACTATTCGTCCGGCTTTTCAATCAATGAAACCACTGATCTCCCTCTATCATCATCATCAATAAATCCAAAAAACAAAAAGAAATCTTCCCTCTATCCATCCCATCGATTTATGTCGCTGTAAATGTGAAGCAGTGACGCTGGTTCTTGCTTGAAACTAGAAAGGGTAGGCAGACTACTAACCTGCACTCGCACTTTCCGGAAATGGCTATTTCTTTGCAGCTTAAAAGTTTAAATAAGATGTAAGGGGGTGTAGTTGTGATTATTTTTTATTTAAAAATATATTAAAATAATATTTTTTATATTTTAAATTTATTTTTATATTAGTATATTTGATTTAAAATACTAAAAAAATATTTATTTAAATTAAAAAAAAATATTTCTAAAAATATTTTTAGAATATAAAAACAAACAGTGACGGTAAAGCAGTCCAAAATCCCAATTAAAACAAAAGTAAAGGATGCAATAAATAAGATAAAATTAATAAAGCAAAGTAGAACAAGGAGACACGAAATCAAGCACAGAGGATAGTGATTTCAACAAGTAATAATAGAAATAGTGCGTGAGTGTGTTTTTAAAAAGGGAGGGGAGAAAAGGAAAGAATGCTAGGGTGGCGCATTTTAGCACGTGGATTGCGAGGATTTATGAGGGGGTGCTCTTTTTTAGGGAAACCTTGAACTTAATCTCTCATCTATTTATCCATTCTTAATATAGTCCTCGAACTAAACCTTCTCTCAATTGAATCCTCCACTAATCGATCGTCGCATGTTCTTAACGTGGATCCTTAACTTTTTTTCGAAAGGGGTTAGATTTATATGTGTTTAAAATAGAATATATGAACAAATTTTATAATTTTGCAGCATTATATGAAATTATAAGATCATGCCTAGCAATTCATCAGTTTTTTTTTTTTTTTATGAAACGATCGTGACAAACTTACTTTGTTTGGGAGAAGTTTGTACTTGAGTTCGAGATAATTTCCATACAAGTTTGTATCCAATATATCAAGATAGACGATGTTTAGTGAAAAGCTTAGTATTTTAAGTGTTTTATATTGTGTTATTTTCTTTGGATTTCTTATTAAATATTCTTGATGTATCTATATAATTACAGCTAAGCATGAAAATTAAGAAAGAAAGAAAAACATAATCGAGAAAAAAAATTAAAAAACTAAGAAAAAACTAATATGTTTGGGTTTAAGGCTTTTGAAATCAATTTTACTGAACCAAACTAGATTTTCAAGAATGAATATAAAAAAGATGTTACTTGTAATATGTTTTCATGAGAATAAATATAAAAGATATATCCCATATTTTTAAAAGTTTTTTTATTCATGATGATAATACACTTTTTCTTGTCCTGAATCCTTAAGATTTGCATAATTATATTAAAACATGAAATTAATATTGTTTTTTAATGTATAAAAAGAACATGTTCAATATTTAGATGGGTTTTACTTGCAGCAAAAATCTGTAACTACACACACACACATATATGTTTTCTGGAACAACTTCGTACCATGAAAAAAATACCCATAAAACTCCTAGAAAAAAATCACGAAAAAACAAGTTTTTGATGGTTTTTCTTTTTAAAAAATCAAATTCAACCTAGTCATTTTGAACTAATTTCAGTTATCTTCGATTATATATATATATAAAGCTTTGCTTTGGTTTTTTTTTTAAAAAACTGAATTGCACTATATACACTTCTTTTTTCTAACCCCACCGAGCCCTAATTTAGCAATTCTATGAGATGGGTGACTTAATTGATAAACTTTTTAGTTTGCAGACTTAAATAATCAATAATTAGTGGCTAATTTCCAAAGTCTCTCCTCTTTTTTGTAAGCTTTAGCTTTTGGCTTTTGCTACATGGATCTTGGTGTGCTTTACATTTCACCTGCTCTCTCACACCAAATTCTGGTTTGTTTATGCGTTTTAGGTATCTTGATTGTTTGGAAATTAAAAAAGAAGGAGAGAGGAAAGGCTTTCATGGTCTGATTTATTTGACCGTTCCTCAAGCGTGCGGTTCACGACAAAACAACAGGGGGAGGCACAGGATAACATGAAGCGATTACGTGTTATGCCCCGGTGCTTGTCTGTGCACGGCGCCGTTTCTGGCTTTCACATTTGGTTTCAGCTTGGCTGGGGGCTTCGAAGTTTATATTTAGCCTCCATTTTGTCTTCTATGTTTGCTCCGGAGTGTATATCCTCCTTGTATTTTGCATGCCAGTCCTTTCTTGGATGTGATCTTGGGATTCCTCAGGGCTGGATATCTAGCTATCAAATATCAGTGACGGGAATATTGGATAGAATGAATTTTTATTCAGGAATAAAAAATTCTATCTACATGTACAATACAAGACGAACCAGTTTGGTTGATTAAATCGCGAGGATTATATTTATTTATAAAGTTTTCAGCATTGTTGGATGAATTTTTATTCAAGAATAAAAAATTATATCTATTTATTTATAAAGTTTTCAGCATTGTTTTTTATAATCTTAAAATACAAAGAGGATTCAAGTTCAAATGGTAGATAAAAAAACCCCATAAATATCCAGTGGCTAAAAGGAAGTAGAAGGAGCTCCTTGTATAAACTCCCTGTATGAAAGAACGAAAGGGAACACTCGATTGCACACGTAGGTGGCATTAAAATATATTTTTGGCCAGAAAGAGTGAGATTTGGTTGGTTGAGATTTGAAAGCACCAAAGTGGATCCACGAAGGAGGATGAAAAGAAAAGGAGAGGGGAGACCTTTCCAAAATAAATGGTTCATGCCATGTTCGTGAATTTCCAGTAGTGTGGAAAGGGAATGGGAATGTCCATGCCGCTACTGTTGCATGGGCAAGAGGGTCACGAACGGATCTCCGTTTATTATGATTTTTTTTATTTACCATGACCAGCCTACCACCACAATTGGTGGCCCTATCCCGAGAGAATAAAGAGCACAGCCTTTCCGACGGTGGGGACACTAGGAGTCGCCCTAAGCAAAAAAATAAATAAAAAAAAACTCGAGGACGACTTTGTTGAATTTGTCTTCTAGCTCGACAGGAGTCACCATGCCAAGAGGATCTTGCAGCCTTCGATCCAAGTTGTGAGAGGGAACAGTTCCTTGGCGTGGCACCGAGGCCAAATCCGAGCGAAGACAAACCTCATCCCCCGAACGACGTTTTATTACATCTTCGTTGATCCCAACAAATGCGGAGTATATAAATGCTAAGTAACTACTTTTAAAATAGTGGCAACCATACTTGTTCAATTTACAGCTAATAATTACACCTATTTCTCTCTGACCTTATCACCGCTGGTCTAAAGTCGGCCATCCTAGCAATTTGGCATCTTGAAGGGGGATTGACGTGCTAATTACACATTGTTTGCAGCACTGAAAAATATTTTTTTTTCTTAACTATAAAGAAAAATAAATTTATTTAGTTAAATAATTTTTTTTATTATACTTCATACATATGTGCGTTTTAAATTTTACTTTTGTAGAGGTTAAAACAACTTATAACAATGAAAATTACTAATTTTTTTAAAATTTAAAATCAAATAATTTTTTTAAATCGTAATTAAAAATATTTTTTAAACAACTATGATATAAAAAACATACTCAATGAGGTAAAGCTAGCTCCAACCTTTAATATTATTATTATTATTATTATTATTAAAAAGTTTGCGATTTGTTTGAGAGTGGTTGAAAATATATTTCACTCAAATAATAATTTTAAAAATATTTAATTAATTTACTCAAATAATAATTTTAAAAATAATTAATTAATTAATATATAATAAAAAATTTATATATATGTTTTTTTTAAAAAAAGAAGGAGATGATGATGATTTTACGAGTATTCTGAATTTGATTTTATTTGTAAAAAAAAATATGTCCCCAGCAGCTTGCTGTTTAGGTCCTACCACAGTGCCACGCTCCCCAGTAGAATTTCAGGGCACCTCTGGTATGGATTTGACAGTCCAAGTATCGCCACGTGATGCGAGCACGCATTATGTGGATGAGGAATATGATCGGACGGTCTAGACGTGACGCTAAAATCGAGTGGCACGCGGACTAGATAATTTGTGGACTCTCTCCTCTCTCTAGTCTTTCTCTAGCAGCACAATATTCTATGGCTTTGGAACTTAAACTCGCCGTATTCTCAGCTTGATACGTCCAAGCACCACTGATCTTGTTCCACGTGTCCATCATGGAAATGGTTTCGTATGATTTGAGGAATGTGGGCCCACCAAGCTGATCATGCTTTTAATGCTATTTTATTGATTTTTGACTTTCCATTGACTTTAATTAATCATTAATCGTTTACATGATAGCGTAGCGCACTGTGTTTTTTAAGACTGTTATTTGTTTATAAATATATTAAAATAATATTTTTATATTTATTTTTTACATTAACATATTAAAATCATTAAGAAAACACAAAAAAAATTAATATTATTTTTTTTAGCAATTATATCCTTAAGAAATAAGCTCAAGTTACCCGCATGGAAAGAAGATGCAAGTCCATGTTGTTGACATTACAGTTTTAAAAAATAATAAATTATAATTTTTTTAACATGCATCCAGGAGACTATTTTCAATGAAATCAATATAAATCCAGATATATATTGATTATATTGATTGATGAGAGAAAATAAAATATATGATTGAAGAGAAACGCAGCTTAAATCTCATGTATTACCATGAACAGATCTACCCAATCAAATGTCCCAGATTGTTATAATAGTGGGCCCTACCCACTTGTTTAAGCAAGGGACATCACCTGCAAGGGATAGAGCCTTATCATTGTCAAAGGGTGGGGACCACGGAGTGGTGTTTAATAGGAACAAGCAAGTCCCAGTGTTCCACAAAGTAATTTCGTGGCCCCACAAAATATATTTTAGGATCCACGTCTCAAGAGTTCGAGTCATAGAAGAAATTCCATAATTTGACATCCATTTTTCATGGCGTAAGTACATGGACTTTAGGTGTGTACAGATGGCTCGGACCGACCCAGTACAATAATAGGTAGAGCATTGTAAAAACGAGAAGATGGCGTGCCTGTGGGCTGGGACCCTTGCACATTATGCCTCGAGGCACTAGTGTGGTTTCCTCATTTTCTACTCATGAATGTATCTGGGTCAATGCCTAATGATGCTGCATGTTTAGATGAGAGGTAATTTGTATATTTTTTTTTTGGTAAAAAACATGTATTTTAAGTTTTTTAACGTGTGATTTATGCT